GCGGTGCTGTGCAGCCTGCTGTGGGTGACCCTGCTTGGGCAGGGGGTTGGGCTGGGTGACCCACAGAGGTCCCTGCCAACCCCCACCATGCTGGGATTCTGCTCATCCAGTCCCGTTCGCAGGGTCTGGGGTCTCCCCTCCTGGTTCGCTCCCGCAGCCTCCAGGCTCCCTTTTTGTCTGTGCCTGGAGACGTTTCCTCCTCTTCCACCACAGGATGGCCTGCAGTTCAAGTTTACTTCTACTTCCCTATCTGCCCGAGTGACAAAACAAAGATTAAAGTGCAGCCCATGCAGCTGAAGGCTGCATTTACTTTAGTCACTGGTGCTCAGCTCTGGCACGAATCAGCCTCTCGCCCCAGTGTCCTCCCTTTGCTTTGGTTAGCATGCCCGCACTGTTTACATTACACAGGTGCCAGGTACCGACAGCCTCTCGTCCGTGTGCATATTGGGGTACAAGGCACGCTACAACACTGCAAACACACAAATATAATCACAGCGGCACAAATACAGAATAACACTCCATTCGATCCTGATCCAGATTCCCCGGTCAGCGAGAGACCAGGCAGTAGCTGCAGGCAGGGACAGAGCCGAACCTGTGCTTATCGACGGCAAATAGCACCCGACCGACCCGACAGCCTCCTTTGATAAGATAAATGATTTTTTAGACAAGGGAGATGCACTAAATTTAATCTTCCTGGACTTCAGTAATGTGCTTGATACGGTGCCACGTGGGAAATCATTAGTTAAGATGGAGAAGATGAAGATTGGTACAAAACCGAACGCGGGGCAGTGACGGGCTACAGGGGAGAGGACGGCAGGTGACGCTGAGAGGAGATTGTCAAGCTGGAGGGAGGGCAACAGGGGAATTCCTGAAGAATTGATTTTGGAGCCAATTTTATTTAAGATTTTCATTAATAACCTTGGCATAAAAGAGTGGAACATGCTAATGAAATCTGCTGATGAGAATAGGCAGGGGGGCCCTGTCGATGCAGGAGAGGAGAGGGATATCGCGCGGTAACGGCGCAGTCTTCGGGACCAGAATAATAAAAATAGCATGAAACGGAGCAGCACAAAGTGCAACTCTCTCATTTCTAATGGGAATTTCTGCTGCGTGCTGACCTCGCAGGCTGCCAGCAACAGAGAAAGTGGAACACCAAAGCCATCAGCTAAAGGCAGGCTGACGGTGAACCCCGCCGGCACCGAGCAGGGCAGGAGGAATTACGGGCAGCACCGGCACCTCCAGGGCGAGGGTGCCCTGGCTCGGGGTCCGGGTGAGACCCTCCTGGGGTCAGCTCCCCGCGTGAGGAGCAGACAACCCCCAGCAGCCCGTTCCCTGCCCTGGGAACCCCGCTGCCCAGCCCCCCAGCCCCAGCCCAGTCCCCCCCCAGCCCATCACCCACCACGGTGGCCGGACCCCCAGCCGCAGCCCGGCTCACCCCCATCTCTCCTGACAGGGAGGTACCTGGAGAACCACGGGGTGATTCACAACATGTGGTTCAACACCAGCACGGGTCTGAAGCTGCCCTACTATTTCACGCAAGCCGTGGACAGCTGGTGGGACAACGGCAGCCTGCCCATCTGGATCACGGCGCAGAGACAGGCAAGTGGGCCACCGCCTCGGCACAGACCCTGCACCCACGGGTCCCGCCCGCAAGCGTGCAGCAGAAGCTACAGGCAAGCCACGATCTCTAGTGGCCACGAGCGAACATCCTCACTGCAAACGACAGGCTCATTGCACCAGCAGAAAAACGAAATCCCCACACGCTGGCAGGAATAATTACGATCGTTCTATTAAAAACTGTAAAAAATAATAGACGCATTTCAGCTTTATTAAGCCATTAATTAAACAGGTTATCCTTTTTATGTTTAAAGAAACCTCAGCTGGTTCCTTGCGGAGCGTCCCGAGCCCAGGAGTTTCACGCGCTTCGAGGCACAAACCCGATTTCCACAGCCCCAGCACCGGGGGCCGGTCCCCTCCTCCCTGGGGGCTGCAGCAAGGCTTGCCTAAATCCCCGCAGGCTTTGGCTCTGGCTTTGAGACGGGGCCTGAGACTGGCCCACGACACGTAGCTTTGCCCACATTTACCTGCCAAGCTGGCCCCGTTGGCTCCAGGGTGAGCGCTGACACGGCTGGAGCGAAACCCACCCCAACGAGAGCCGGAGGGTCCAGGCGAGGTACAAACGGGTCACCGTTCCCCAAGTTATAACTCGTGTGACCGATGCAGTGAGAAAACTAGCGTGCAGGAGTTCTGGGAAGGGCAGTGCTTTCCATTAATCACTTTTAATTGGCAATGAGCAAGAAAACCTCGTTAGAGGCAGAGGTAGACATTAGGGGGCTGAATGAACTAACCGCCTTGGTAGGTGTTTGCACTGACAGATGGAGAGATGCTACAGGGCGAGTCCAGGTGAGTTTACGCCATGTCTCCATTAACAGGGCTTAAAGACAGGCTCCATCTATTTCCCCGGCGGAAGAGCAACATATCAAGGAGAAGAAGTGAATATGAAGCTGGTGGAGCCCTTCTTGTTCAACTACAGCAACGAAACCAACTGGAGAGAGAACATCAACACCGCCATGGAATGGTTCACGGTGAACAACCTGGACTTCATCACCCTGTACTTCGGTGAGCCAGACTCAACGGGACACAAGTACGGCCCCGAATCCACGCAGAGGAAGAGCATGATTGAGCAGGTGGACAGAACCGTTGGTTACCTGCGGCAGCGCATCCAGGAAAGCGGACTGGAATCAACCCTCAACCTCATCATCACGTCCGACCATGGCATGGAGACTGTCATAAAGACCGACGAGATTCACATCCGGACCGTAGAGAACTTCACGTTCAGTGACATCCAGTTTGAACTCTTAGATTACGGACCAAACGGACTACTGTTGCCAAAAGAAGGAAGATTAGAGCACGTGTATTCAGTCCTGAAAAATGCCCACCCAAAGCTACACGTGTACAAGAAAGAAGACTTTCCAAAGAGGTTCCACTACGCCAACCACTCCCGGATCACCCCGCTCCTGTTGTACAGCGACCCAGGCTACGTGATCCATGGGGTAAGAGGCATGTGCAGACACATCTCACGGGCTTTGGGGGATCTGCCTCTCTCCTCCTGCCCTTCTCACGGCACCCTGGTACCCACCCAGCTTTACGCCTTCATGCTGGTTGGTCTCCCTGCAAACAGGTGGAAAATCCAGCTCTTTGTGTAAAGACCACCTCTGCCGTTCAGATAAAACAGGGTCCAGAAGCCTTGGAGCAGGGCTTGCATGAACATGGATTTTCATTTGCAAGATCCTCTCCCGGCCCAGCGTTAAGGGTAGACCCAAAGCCAAGGCCAGCAGGCAGCTTCCCATCGTGAAGCTCCTCACTACAACAAAATTCGGATGTGCTGACATTTAGGGAGGGAAATTGCAAGGCATTATTGCTTGAGAGTCATGTCTAGGCTGTGTCACTGAGGGGCTGGAGAGTGTCCAGGGAAGGGCAGCGAGGCTGGGGAGGGGGCTGGAGAACAAGTCCCATGAGGAGGGGCTGAGGGAGCTGGGGCTGTTCAGGCTGGAAGAGGCTGAGGGGGGACCTTCTCGCTCTCTGCAGCTCCCTGACAGGAGGGTGCAGTGAGGG